ACGCTGCGGCCGGCCCCGGTGACCCCCCCCCGGCGGGAGGCGGCGCTCCTGCGCGGGAGGGAGGCGCCGACGACGGCGCCCCCTGGGCCCGGCCGCGCCGCGGCGCCCGCGCGCGCCCGCAGCCCGCGGGCTGGGCAGGGGCCGGCGACGCAGGCTACTGGGCGCCGCTTGCGCCGGCGCAGGGCACGCTCGAGCAGCAGCCCCAGCGCCCGGGAGCCGCGGCGCCGGCGCAGGCGCCCGCACCGGGAGCGCAGCCCGAGCGAGCGGGCCACCCGCCGGCGCCGCACCCGCCGGAGCAGCCGCACGCGCGGCCGCTCCCCAGCCCCCCCGGGCAGGGCGGACACACCGGAGCCCGCCGAGGCAGCGGCCACGAGCTGCCCCGCGGCGGGCGCCGAGCGGCGAGCGAGCCCCCCGGGCCGGCGACCCCGCGGCGGCGGCTCCAGCAGCTCCCCCGCACGGGCGGCCGGCCGGAGCCGCGAGCAGGAACTCCCCGCGGACGGGACGCTTCTCGCAGGGCCGGGCGCGGCGGCGGCGGCGGTGGCTGCCCCGGCCAGCCGCGGCAGCAGCTACAGCGACGCCACGAGCGGCTCCGGGAGCGGCTCCCCGGGGGCGGCGGCGCGGACTCCCGCGACGGCTCCGCCCACGGCGGCAGCGCTGGGAGCAGGGGCTCCGACGGCAGTTCCGCCCACGGCGGCAGCGCCAGAAGCAGGGGCCCCGACGGCGGCTCCGACTGCAGCGGCAGCGCCGGGAGCTGGGGCTCCACCGGCAGCTCCGCAGGCAGCGGCAGCGCCAGGAGCAGGGTCCGGCGGCGGCGCGGCCGCCGCGGCGGCCGGCGGCGCGGGCAGCGCGCCGCGGGCGAAGGGCCCGAGGGACCCGCAGGCAGCGCCCCCCGCGGAGGCGGTGGCGGCGGCGCTCAGGGCGAGCGGCTGGGGCTTCGCGGCCGAGGGGGTCGCGGCTGGCGTCCTAGCCGAGGCGGTGGCTGCCGGCCTTCTCCGACGGGAGGGCCGCCGGCGCTCCCGCTAGACGCAGGCGAGCACCCCATCGAGCGCGAGTACGACGGGCTCGACTGGGCGCAGCTCGCAGGCCAGCCGGGCGAGGCTGGCGCTTCAGGCTCCCCTGCCCCGGCTGAGCAGGGGCGCGCCGCGGCTGCCGCCGTCGCCACCCCGCCGCGGGCGCGGGGCCAGGCGGCCCCCGCCGCGGAAGCTCCGACGGCGGCTCCGCCTGCGGCGGCGGCAGCGCCGGGAGCGGGTGCTCCGACGGCAGCTCCGCCTGCGGCGGCAGCGCCGGGAGCGGGGGCTCCAACGGCCGCTCCGCCCGCGGCGGCAGCGCCTGGAGCTGGGGCTCCACCGGCGGCCCCGCTGGCCTCGGGGGCGGCCGCGCCGGGAGCGGAGCCGGCGAAGCGGCGGCTCTGGGCTGACCTGGCGGCGGAGGAGGCCGCCGGGCTCGACGCCCCGCCGGCGACGACCCTGCCCGCGGGGGACACGCGGGCTGGCGGCGCGGTCGCCGGAGCCGCCACAGGCGCCGCGGCGGCGGCGCGCGCGGAGGCGGCGGCCCGCGCTGCGGCGGCCGCTCAGGCGGAGGCCCGGGCCGCGGCCGCGGACGCGGCCGCCGCGGAGGCCGCGGAGGCGCTGCGCGAGGAGGTGTGCGACCTCCTCCAGCGCGGCTGGACGCCGGTCCGGGCCGCCGCACGCCACCTCGGCCTGCCCGAGGGCCGGCGTCTGCCTGCGGCCCGCGGCCGGGTGTCGCGGCAGGTGGCGCGCCTGGCCGCGCCGCAGCTCCTCGAGCTCGCCGAGCTCCTGGGCGCCGCGGCCTAGCCGCGGGGGCGCGGCGCCGGGCTGCGCAAAGCCGCGGCCCGGCTGAGGCGGGGGCCCGCCGGTCCGTGCGCGGGCGGGCGCGCCTCCTTCTGCGTTTGCTGCTGCTTCTGCTGCTGCTTCCTCCCTTCCTCTCCCCCCTCCCCCTTCTGCTCTCCTCCTCCTCCTTTGCCGCGGGGCGACCTCTCGAGCTAGTAAAAAAAAGTGCTACGCCCTCCCGCCCGTCCCCACCTCAGAATTCCTGTCATCCCTGGTCACTACTGGAAGTACGCCCATGAAAGACGAGTGCGCCATGGGCAAGCCATTTAGACGAGAGCCCCGTCTTCCCGACTTGAAAATGAGCTGCGCCGAGCACGACGCTGATCAGCACGGCCGGCTGCTTCAGTGCGACGGTGACCACTGCGACATTTCAAACTACACTCGACTCCGGGCCCAGCGGGCCCCAGCAGCACGTGCAGCACGACAGGCTCCAGAGGTGGGCCCCAGCAGCACGACGCTGAGCAGCGCGACTGGCTCCAGCGGTGCGGCGCTGAGCAGCACGACGGGCACTTGCGGCACGACGCTGTCCTGCGCGGCCGGCTTCAGGAGCACGACGGAGTGCAGCACCTGCGACGCACGGCTCCCTTTGGCAGTGTGCTGGCCTCCCGAGGGCATGGAGCAGGATATGTCCGCCCCAGGCTGGGCCAACGAGCAGCTGCCAGCGGACGAGTCCGGGACGTGCCGGCGTCCGAAGCATTCCCTAGATGGGGCAATAATCGCCCCCCCCTTTGGGATCCGCTGGGGTGGTTGGGCACGTGCTGTCGGAACGGGTGGATGGGGCGAGGAGGAGGAGGAGCAGGAGGAGGAGGAGCAGGAGGAGGAGGGGGGAGATGGGCAAGCTCCGTCGGAAGGTTAGTCGCCCACCCCTCGATGAATATCCCACCCAGAGTTGCCATTTGGGCACGCCGAGGCCGCCAAATTTTTGCGCATCGCGTCCGTAACATCTGGACGCACCGATTTTCCGCGCCATGTGGGCGGCCGAGGCCGTGGTATTTGCACGCACCGAGGCCGCGACATTTCAAGCACGTCCGGCTCCAGCGGCACGACGCCTCTGAGCGGCACGTCCGCGACGGCCAGCAGCCCCAGAGATGCGACGACGGTCACCACCGGCGGGCGCCACGCCGGCATCCAGCACTACGGAGTCGACGCCTGCACCGTGGAGTTCACCGCGACGGAACAGCAGCTCAGCACGCCGCTGCTGGGCCGCTGCCGCCCCTGCAGCCTCAGGATCCCGTGCCTGCGCCAGCGCCGACGTCAGCAGCGACGTCAGCGTTTACGCCTGCGATGGGGCGCCAGCACTAGCGCCAACGCATACACCGGCGGCGACGCCAGCGCCGACGCCAGCACCAACGACGGACCCCCACAAGAACATACAGCTTTCAACGTCCATTTACTCCAGCGCCGACGTCGGCGCCGACGCCAGCATCAACGCCTCCGGTTGCGCTGGCACTAACGCCGCCGCCTACCCCAGCGCCGGTGCAAGCCCCGAACACCAGCACCGACGCTAGCACAGACGCCAGCACCTACGCTGGCGCCTACGCCAGCTCCGACGCCAGCACCGACGTCAGACCCAACGCCTGCGCATACCACCAACACCAGCGACTGCATCAGCACCAACGTCGGCGCCTACGCCCGCACTAACGCCAGCTCCTACACCAGTGCCGACGGCAGCAGGTAGGAACTGCGGCATCCTGGAGCGCTGTACACGACGGATACCAGCATCACAACATTGTGCAGCACGACGGGCTGCGGCAGAACGGCTCTCGGCATCACGACGGGCACCAGCATCAGTGCAGCCGCACAGTCAGATAGCCGTCGCCGCCTCAGCAGCGGGAGGACGGCCAGGGCACTCAATCGCGCCCAGCTCGGGGGGTGCGTTCTGATTCTGGGGTGCCC